TTATATGTATATAAAGATTTCTTCTATAATACCAAAAATTCCGAACCATACAAAAACTAAACATGTTTATCAAAAGTACATTCCCTAATAGGACATTCAGTAATTGATCCTGATTAAAAGGGTTAGACAAGTTCAAATTTCATATTCGACAATGGTTATCGTTAATTGAAAATTAAAAAAAAATATTGAGATATCTAAGCGTTAAAAGGCAGTGGTTGCCCAATGGTAACGTGCTCGCTTGGGAACATATGTAAAGGTTCAAATCCCGGGTCTCACACCTCTGATATTTTCATCTAAATCATTTCCAACGTAACTACCACTTGTCTTAAGGTGAAGGAAAACATCGTGAGGAAACTTGCATGTCTGAGAGAAGCTAGCAAGTTGTCGAACGACATGTGAAGTCCACCCGCACTTGGCCAGCGTGGTGGACTATGGCCTGATCCCCCTCGTATTGAAGGGAGTCCGTGCCCAACAGTAGGATGTTTTATTTATGATTAAAAAGGGCTCAATACGCTATTTAGGTAATTAGTAACATCATTTTCATAATTCGTTTTATTTCTCTATTGACGATATAGAGAGTAAAACTTAAACTTTTTTGAAAGGAGACCAGCAAATTTAAAGAATTTTCACTTCAGCAAATTAAATATTATTGCTTTCATAATGAACCAGATCCGAAATCTATACTAATATTATAAAGAGGTAAAGTTTGTGAGTTTGTGACGTTGTAGGGGGTAATCTCTAGATCTACAAAACCGATTTTGATGAAATTTGGTAAGAAGATAGTTTGAGACCCTGGAAAGGACATAGGATACTTTTCATCCCGGAAATCATCCCTTAAAGTGAAAATGGGGTTGAAAATTTGTATCTGGAATCAACCTAGAGACGAACCCGAGCGAAGCGAGGGTGAGTCGCTAGTTGATACATAAAATACATTTACTTTTCATTTTTTACAAATTTTTTTAATAAATAAGCAAAAGACCCTTTTAGCTCAGGTTTGACGACTTGTTCACGACACATTGACTTTAATTTACTTTCAATAAATATATTATGTCTCTCCGACCGATGTCAGCCGGCGGTAAATCTCATTGAGACTAGCCAACTGCAGGAGATATTATGGTGCATCGCGTGTGAGAGAGAGCGCAGACACAAGTGCACTCTCTATTCCTGTCATTCATACTCCGGTGGGACGACACGAGACACGACCTGTGAGAGTTAAAGCGGCTACTCACACCCCTGCCGCAGGGGCAATCTAGGGCGTAAAAGTGGGGAAGACCCTTAATTGCCACCTAAATTGTGATGTGTATAGTCAAGCAGGGGCAATTTTCTAGATTAAAAATATCTTATATTTTAAATGTGACGGTATCTTTGTTTGTTTGTCCTTCTTTCACATCGAAACGGAATGAGGGATTGGCGTGATTTTTTGTGATTGTGTGGAGATAGTTGAAGTGCTGGAGAGTGACATAGGCTACTTTTTACCGCAAGAAATTATCTAATTCCCGCGGGAAAACACTTATAATACAAATATTTATCAGACCTGCAGGTTTCCTCACGATGTTTTCCTTCACCGTAAGGCAAGTGGTAATCATGTTAGAAATTTTTCGCACTTGAAAATATCAGAGTTGCGAGAACCGGGATTTGAACCCGCTTCACTCGGTTTCCCAAGCGAGCGCGTTACCACTGGGCTACCATGCCTGTCACTAGTATAGACAATAATTTTTAAGCTTGTTTTCTTACTCCGTCTTACACATAGGCGTAGAAAGGTAAATATTGGTCCAGAACATTTTGACTTATCGATTGACAAACAAACCTTAGTAATATTTCAACTAATTGTAAGAATATTTAATATGAAGGTCACGAATGTGATTTTTTTTTAGTATATTTAAATATTTGCTTGTACGGTCAAACGAGGTCGGTCATATTATAAATATAAGCACCCATGACTGGAGTACAAACATTCGTGCTCATCAAACAAATTAATGCCCTCCCCCAGCGGGACTCGAACCCGCGACCGCTGGCACAGCAAGTAGGGTCACTACACACTGAGCCAAACGTGTCGTCTATATATAATGTATCGTATATATATAATGTATAGGTAACTTAAATAAAATATAAATAACAAAGCGAAATCTGTAAACAAGAAATATTTTTTAAAAACAATGACTGCTATTGTTTAGAGAATACAGACAAAAAAACCCAAAACAACTAACAGTTATTGAAATTTTTGTGTGTTTCACGCAAAAGGTACGTACTAAACCGGTTTTAGCTAAACTTAGTGTAGTAAATAAAAAAAATGATTACTTGGATGAACATATAGGATACCTTTTACTATGGGAAAATCTTTCATTCCCAAGATAAAAAACTAACACTGGTACGGCCTCAATCTGATTTTGTCCAAAATGGCTGAACTAGATACAACAAAACAACTATAGGTATATACTATAATATAGGTAACTATACGTCTTAAAAAGTTCTCCAGAGCATGTGTCTATTGCCTCACAATAAATATTTTTCTCCATATAAAACGGACCTAGGGACGTAGACCTACGAGAAGGTATGGCAAAAGGATACTCTGGAAAACACCAGAGTGTAGGGGAAGTCCCAAGAACAAGTATATATGTAAATATAACAAAAATACACCCCGGGAAATACCCGAATGAAATGGGGGTAGTGGATGAATACCTATTTTCTTTCATCCTAATGACTTGCTTCGAATGTAAACACGCTATCTATCATTATTACGCAGTACACATGTATATGTATGTATGTTCTTGTACTATTAAAGAACAACGCGTCGACTATTTACAATGCATTAATTAGATACGTTCTTTACTAACGATTAGTCTTGGCTTCAGTTAGTAGAAGCTCTGAACACCCGCGTTATTTTACGTCTTCAAAATATAGACTACTAGCAGAAACCGCGGCTTCGCTCGCGCTAAAACTACCAAAAAATCTCTAAAAAGGTAGTTTCATACAAACATTCATCCCCTATTTTACCCCCTTAAAGGATGAATTTCGAAAAATGCTAAGACATGTATTTATTTAATTTTATTGAAGAGCATTCCTGCCAAGTTTCAAGTAATTCTGATAGTATTTTTTTTTTGGATTGTATTATAACGTGTTTTTCCGTGGGAATTAGATAACCTCCCGCGGTAAAAGTAGCCTATGTCACTCACCAGCCCACCAACTATCTCCACACAAAAAATCATGTCAATCCGTCTCTCTACTTCGACGTGAAAGAAGGACAAGGAAGCAAACAAACAAACACACTTTTAAATTTATAATATTATGTATGGATATAGATTAACTGTGGAGTCTGAGTTTCCTTAGGTTAATCTAAACGAGTAACAAACAAACATGTGTGTATACATACAAACTGTCATATTTATAATTGTATAATAATAATTTCTGAGATTTACGCGAGCGCTTAAGCATTTTCAATAATTTAGGATAGGAAATTCATAAAATTAAAAATTTTCGGATTTTTTCGCGGGTTTATTTTGGATTTTAATAAGGTTTAAGGTTTTTTGTGAAAAAACCCAATTTTTACGATATATATATATATATATATATATATATATATATATATATATATATAACAGGTATGATGAGTTATTGTGGGTTGTATTATAATACGAGTATGTTTTCCCGTGCAAATGAGATAATTATCTCATCAATCGCACGCGGGTAAGTAGCCTATGTCACTCTCCAGCCCTCCAACTATCTCCACTAAAAAAAATCATGCCAATCCGTCACTTTGTTTTGACGTGAAAGAAGGCCAAACAAACAAACACACTTTTAGATTTATAATATTAGTATGGATTGTAGTTTTAAAAATCATATGTCAAGACGTAACAACAAACTTGAAGGTTTTAGGTAAGCCATTGAAGAGTTCCACTATTTACCCCCTGCGACCAGCATCAGATCAGTGAGATGGTATATAAATTAATGTATTGTCACCCGGATTTCTGGCATAAAGTTTCAAACCGATACGACACTTAGAATTAGGTTAAAATTGTTTACGCGAAATAACCTAACAAAATTATGTTAAATATACCTACTAAAAGACCCGGCCACGTGTTGCTGTGGCACACATATGAAAATTGTTAATTTTGCAATAAAAAAAGAAAATAATCGGGATAAAAACTATCCTATCTTTTAAGTTGGAACAAATCACACATTTTGAAAAAAAACGTTAAGATCGGATAAGTAGTTTCGGAGTTCACCTCGGACCAACATCCTGACACGGGAATTTTATATATCAACAAATATAAATAGGCAAAGACAAAACACCTTCGTGCCTTTTTCTCTTCTGTTTGTCAATCGATTTTCTTTTTTTTGTTTAGTAGTTATTGGTGTGCTTTGGATGTTATCAATAAAAAAAATGATTATGGTGTAATTACAACTGCTGAGCGAAAACTATTACATATAAAATGGCATGTTCTTGACCACGGATTACTATTAGGTACATGCGAAAATTTGTATGTTTGTATATTTGTTCCTCTTTTACGTTAAAACGACTCGACTTATTTGAATAAAATTTTGCACACAGATAGTCTATGATTTGGAGTAACATTAAGGCTGTTAGGACTCAAGCACGTACGGATGCATCCTAGCTTAAAATACGCTTTTGGTATAATTTTAATAAAATCCAAAACGGCTGGCCCTAAAATGATGAGACTTTGACAGAGCTTTCTATATTGAAATGGATATAATTATGAATATAATATAAAAAATTAATTTTTGCAAGATTTCTTAAATTTTAGATTAACATTTTATTTTTTTATTGTATTTATTTTATTGTTGTATAAATTTGATATTATTACTTTTCGACATAATAATTTATCTAGATAACTCATTTACCTTCGATACAATTAACCAAATATACGTAGCTTCGGTAATATCAAAATAATAAAACACCCGACCAAAGCCAGGGTAGGTCACTAGTATTTCGACGAAACTCGGTCAGTACTTATTTGTACAGATAACAAAAACATACTTACAGCAATAATATTTTTTATCCGACTGCTGTCCCCAACATAGAGCTGACCACTGTTTTTTTACTCCCGAACATGCGAATTGAGTTCTACCACAACCGGCACAGCCTTGGAGATTTGCTAAAATCGTATCTTCTCTGATCAAAATTTTGCCTCCATGACTTGGTGCTATGATGACCACCTTCTCATCTTCTTTTGGCAGCATCAGGGATGCAGATGTAGTTTTATCCAAATCTTGATGAGCCATGATAATTTATTGCATAATTTTCGAATTTATTACGGCAGACGTAACGTCCGACAGCTGCGACGGCTAGTGACAGACTGGTGTAATCACAAGTTATAGGACTGATAATAATTAGTGTTAAAGGTTATCACGCACTATGGATAGGAAAAAAAATATGTAAAAACCAAAGAGATCTTCGTCGTTTGTTTATAGTAATGGCGTAGTTATCGCATTATTCGTGGGTTTGATTTTTTGAAAGGGTTTGAAATATTTGTTTCCAAATTATAATTTTTTTTATTCCGACATCAGTATGGTGGCTAAATATTACACTGTGAGGCACATCGGTCATAATGACCCGAAAGCATATGCCATGATAAAAAAAATACTTTTCATCTATGCGTACTAATATTATATAGAGGTAAAGTTTGTGAGTTTGTGACGTTGTAGTGGGTAATCTCCGGATCTACTGAACCGATTTAGACGAAAATTGGTAAGAAGATAGTTTGAGACCCTGGGAAGAACATAGGATACTTTTTATCCCGAAAATCATCCCTTAAGAGGGTGAAAATGGGGATGAAAGTTTGTATGGGGAATCAAGTTCGGGACGAATCCGAGCGGCCTGCCATATTATAATTATATTGATAAAAACAAGATAAATGACTCTTAAAAACTGAATTATGTAAAATAAAAGATTTAAAAACACTATAAAAAACTTTAACAAAAATCAAAATCTTTAGTTTTAGTGTATTTTAACAAAAAAGCTTTTATACTTGAATTTAAAATTTTATCATATGTAAATAAATAATAAGATATCTTTGAAACACAAATTTTTTCTTCATTTTTTCTAGAAATTAACTCATTCGCTGCAGTAAAGTTGTTCAAGTCAAAAAAACAATAATTAATTATATTGTAATTATATGAGTATGATTTTTATTACAATCTTTGTAGATAGACAAATTTGATACTGTTTTCGTATACCTATAATTTTTCCGGTTGGGTTTTCAGGAGGTTCTCCAATAAAACGCGATTCTCATTAGTTTCTCACTTGGTACTGAAACACACTTATTATTTATATATTTATATTTGGGAAATTACCAGTATTTAAAACACTTGAGAGATAGTTGACACACCAATCAAGTTTCCACTAATATACATATCATGTTAATGAGCATTCAAAAAAGAGGGAAAAAGCAGCAAAAAAATAAAAACTGGCTTTCAAATGAAAAAAAAAAACCGCATCGAAAGCGGTCCATCCGTTTGAGAGCTACGATGTCACAGACAGACACACACATATAGACCAGACAGACATCGACATCAAACACGAGAGGTGTTTTTGCGTCGGGGGTTAAAAATGCAATGATATGGACATTACACATCGAGAAACAAGAAAGAAGGAAGGTAAAAAGAACTATTCCAGGTGAATCAACTCATAATGCTGGATTATCGAATCAAGAAGAAATACGTCGGTCAATGTTTGAATGAATAGATAAAATTTTCCTAATTATTGAAACAAAGTATATTCTAGAAGCGTCAAATAACGATTTTGCTTTAGCAGTGGACAATCTGATACACGATAAATTTGATAAGGAGCAGGTTGTCAAAGAAATAAAATGATACTGGAGGCATTGTACATTGTAGATACGTGCCGCCGATACGTGTGTGGAGGTTGCTGCCAAATGGACAGCCCAAGAAATCCTTTAAATTATAATCAAGATTTTAACTAAGTAAACATAAACTTATGCGAGCAAATGTAAACTGAGTAAAATTCTTGTAAAATTACATCATTTTTTTTAAATTAGGGGTGTCATTCAGCTTTGCCGAATCGGGCTTCTGATGGGTTTAGTCCGCCACTGCTCTAGACTCGTCACGAGTTTATACATGGTTTAAGTTACCTAACACTAGTTACCTAGCACACGTTGATTTTTCAAGTTCTCAAGGCGTTGAGTTTTTTTTCATGCCTCGACTAAACAAAATTTCTCGAAAATTCACAACTCGAGAATTCTCGAGCAGAAACCCTTGTTGAGATTAAATTGCTATTGTTACACTCTTTATTTTGTTGTTGTTACAGCTCGCATAGTATATTTTAGTTATTTTCATAGTATTATATCCTATGGTATCCTTACTATGGGGAAATGCAGCTGCTATTAATACGATTTTTGTCCTGCAGAAAAGAGCTGTTCGTGCAATTTATAGTTTAGGTCCTAGAGTGTCATTAAGAGATAAGTTTAAAGAAATGAAAATATTGACTGTTGCTTCTCAGTACGTGTACGAAAATGTTATGTATGTCCGTAAAAATATACACGAATTTCCTAAGAAGTGTGACATGCGTAACATTAATACTAGGAGCAAACACAATTTTGTAATGCCTGTGACTCGTCTACACAGAGTCAGTAATTCTTTTTATGGACAATGTGTACGCTTGTACAACAGGATCCCAGAAAATGTTCAAAAGGCTTCTATCGCCAAATTCAAAAAAATAGTTAAAGAACGTTTATGTGCTAAAGGCTATTATACAATAAATGATTTTGTAGAAGATGGCACGCACACCTTGGGAATGAAATGATCGCCTCCAGGCTACTTCAACTTGATAGAAATATTGTAAATTATAATTTAACTTAAAAAAAAAGATAACGAGTTGATATTAGTCCCGCTGAGTTTCTTTCGCCAGTTCTTCTCAGGTCTGAGGCTTCTTCTCTCCGAACTGGTAGTAGACTCATGACGTTCTATAGATATAGAAGAATAAAATATTTTAAATTTGAATTTATCTTAATTAGTGTTTTAAGCACCTTAATAATATAATAATGGTATTGGGAATGACATTGGCGCTGTTAACAGTATGTTTTATATTATTCATTATATATTAGAACTAGCATTGCCCGCGGCTCCGCCCACGTTCAGATGACCAAAAACCAAATTCTTAAGTTTTACATATTAGTATACTCTTACATTGCAGTTTTTGTATTTTTCTCAGAAATGAGACATTTTCCCGCGGTAAAAATCCTATATGTTGACCCGGATAACGATCTATCGCCATACCAAATTTCATCAAAATCCCTCCAGTGGTTTTTTTGTGATTCGGTAACAGACAGACAGACAAAAATTCTAAAAACTATAGATTCGGCCTCTATATCGATAATAATGTTTATATCAATAAGATTTTCCAAAAAATATCTAATGTACAGATTCGGCTTAGTTACAATTTTATTATATGTATGGATAAAGATATAGAATATATTAGAATATATTTTCTAATATATATTAGAATAAAGGAAAATGGCAAAGTAAAAACTTAATTTTATCTTTCGCTGTAAAAAATTAAAGGCAAAAACTTATGTTGAATATGATTTAAGTGCACATGAGAATATTCGAGGCGAGAGACCCGGCATTTGAATGCGTTTAACCATTTTTAATTTCAATTCATTGTTGGCATCGTAACACAGTCGTAACAAAAATAGATAAGTACATACGAAAATTTCAAATCTGAGCGGTTCAAAAACGGTTAAATTCGCTCACTTGTATGAAGTCGCATTCAATGTTCGTGTCATCGTGAGTGTTGATCCATTAGTCACTAACCTATCATTATAGATGATGGCACGTTTGGTTCAGTTTGTAGTGACCTATTTGCTGTGCCAGCGGTCGCGGGTTCGAATCCCGCTGGGGGCATTCATTTGTGTGATGAGCACGAATGTTTGTACTCCAGTCATGGGTGTTTATATTTATATATGTATTTAAAGTTATATATGTATGTATCAACTATCTAGTATCCATAACACAAGTCTCGTAGCTTACCATGGAACTAGACAGTGCTCTGTGTTATTGTCCCACCATAGATGCTAAAATTGTATTATTCTGGTACAATTTTCTATTTCTCTGCTTAATACAATCCCTAAGCATCACAAAACTACAATTTTATATTATCATAATGTACCTCGTTGTTTAGTCTTGGAATGAACGTCACATTTTGTTTTAACCAATTACGGCGTTTCGTAGCAATTCGCTCAGCATATTTTAAACTTTTGTTCCATGAATATATAATTATGATAATTATTCAGCCCTTTTTAATGTCCCACTGCTGGGCGTGGACCTCCCTTCTATACAAAGAGGATCAGGCCATAGTCCACCACTTTCGAAAACTTGCTAGGTTCTCTCAGACATGCAGGTTTCCTCAAGATATTTTTCTTCACCTTAAAACAAGTGGTAATCACGTTGAAATGATTCACACATGAAAATAGGTATCAGAGATGCGAGACCCGGGGCTTGAACCCGCTACACTCTGTTTTCCAAGCAAACGCGTTACCACTGGGCTACCACTGACTATGTGATAGTTATAAAATAATTAAATAATTTAAATAAAAAATAATTGTAGGGTTATAACATCCCATCGATAAAGCAACCGATTCGAAAAAAATATTTAAAATAAATATAAGCGATATGCATATTCTCAAAATAATTCCATACCCCTTGTTTATCCTAAACAAATAAACAAAATATATTTTATCACGTCTACTATAATAGATAATATTATCTTATTTTTAAACTGTCGCGTACAAAGCGGTTTCCGGTATTCTCTCGGTACTGTCAAAACATTTGAGATTAGCTTCCGGTTACAATGGATTTTATTGCAGTTGTACACTCTCGCCAAGATATTCCGGAAGATGCTGAATTCGTATTCATTTGTAGTATTCATAGAGTGTGTGCATTTACTCTAGGCATCCAACGAACGATCGTGAAAATATTTTTTAATTGACATTGTTCAGTCCCAATTAAACGTACATATATAACCAAACATTCATACATATGTTCATACAAACAAACACACACACATGCACACATTAACACATACATTTTTTTTTAACGTTGGTAAATGCATTTACGCACGACGTGTGGGACTCACCGGCGAAGCCAGTACTACCCACTAAAACCCAACAAAACCTTCCCCCGTCTTAATGGGGCGTCGCAGGATCGCTTACGCATTCAACTACGACGCCCCGACGGCAGGTCTGCCGAAGCAGACCACAACAACC